GAGGGCGATCATTGACACCAATGAGTGGCGTGAACAATCCTAACATACGATGCCAGGCTAGAAGATCTGACGCGTCGTGAGGAATCACTAAGTAAGATATCCTAAGAGCGCGCACGCGACGAATGAAATACAAGCAAGGTTAGTAATACGAAGTTTATAGAAACATGCAGACTAAAATAGCGTAACACACAAGAGCAACCTTCTATCTGAAAATAGACAGGCAAGCGCAACGATAGTGAGAGGCACATCAAAGCGATAGTGAAGCGAAAATGTGAAGAGACCATGAAGCTGCGCTCAGTGAACGGTTATACTGAATCATCCTACTATAGATATTATTCGAGTGTATTAGTTATATATATATATATATAGTTGTCTCTATAGCAGAGATGAAAGCCAAATAACATATAACTAGGAGATATAATATAAACAAATTACACCACCCACGCACACACACACACACACACAACCCACACAAAGTAGCAGCAGAGAGCGAAACACCACCCACACACACAAACACACACGACACCACACAAGAATTAGCCATATCATCCTCTACTAACTAAAGAGGCTAATCATGTGTGTGCATGCGTGTGTGTGTGTGTGTGTGTGTGTGTGTGTGTGTGTGCTAGCTGGCGTGCTGTGTGTGTGTGTGTGTCGTGTGTGTTGTGTGCGTGTGCTGTGTGTGTGTGTGAGTGTGTGTGTGTGTGTGTGTGTGTGTGTGTGCTGTGTGTGTGTGTGTGATATCGCTTATTCCACTTGCATTTTTCAACTCTAGACTCATGTCCAAGGATGGCCATTAGATGTACTTTGGCACGCTGAATGCTCATGGCACATTTTGGATTTACTCTCCAGAGAGAAGTCAAAATAGACTAAAGCCCGACAATCGAAACCGAGAAAAGAATATATTGCACACCCTGCCAACAGGGCAAAGCAGCATGGCAGTAGCAAACTACTACGCCCTGTTGGCAACGCGCCACCTCGCAGGAAGCAAAGCAAGTAGCAGGCAGCAGGAGCAAATACTGTCCCTACTCAGCGCCCGCTCACTTTTCAGATTGCTGAAATACTTTAAGCTTCAACTGTGTTCACGCCTTATCATGAAGTTGAAAATTCCAGGCAAGATTTGGTGGCATTGTACAGTATACACTCTGCTAGTCATAAACGTTGCTACAACGCACCAAGACATCTTGCTAACCCTTAAAATATCGAACGTTCGGTGTGAAGTGACAGTTGAAGTCTACAATATTCTTCATGCGAAGTGGGCCTCTGACCTTAAACACGTGGCCCTACACACAAACATATACACACAGTGATCTCTAATCACTCTCGATCCACTGCTCAGACCGCTTATCTATACTAATCCAGGAGTAGATAAGAGGGGAGGGGACGTGTGACATCAAATAAACAGGGATAATTTCGTACCACTTACTAGCCTTATATCACTACGATTTACTACCCGTAATCCCATGCCCAACTTCTGAGCTCAAATCGACACAGACATCTCGCCTTCACATCGTGTCTGAAATCGTAGACACCATCCGCAATCCGCCGAGATACCAGCCTAAAACGTACGACAGCCATGGCGATTCTCCAATTCTTTGGCAGAATCAACGCCAGTCTGCGCGCGACTATAATCAAACAAGGCAGCTACCTAACGCGCTATTGCTAACTCAGCAAGGCATCGTGGAGCTTTCGCATGGGGATCAAAAAAACGATTAGCCTCAACACTCGGCGAGATAACCTTTTGACCCGGCTACAAGCTACACAGGCCCCTCTGTACATAGCTGGCATTGCCTTCACGACACGCCATAGCCAACAAATGACTTAAGCTCGATCGAGTGTGCGTATCGCATCGTCCAACTCCCCACGAGCCAACGAACCCACATTCCGCATTCCGAGAGAGCAAACCACAGAAAACACAGCGACTGACGAGAGCGCCAAAGGGTGTTAGCTAAGCATGCACACGTTTTGTCTGAATATTATAGAGAGCGCGCAAGATGGCGCTTTGTGAGAAGATTGAATGAGAGACCAAAGAATGAGGAGAAATCAGTGTAACGTATATATCGTTATTAGGCTGATTTATCGCGATTAGCGGATGTCATAAACAGGAAAGGAAACGATTTCGCACGATGATAGGCGAATGTACTGTGTCCGATTTAAATTGAGCTCAAGTTGGATGAGTTACGCGTAGTAAATCGTAGGTATTATAAGGCTAGTAAATGACGAATTTTCCTTGTTTATTGATGTCACACTCCTCCCTATTATATCTACTCCTGATATATATAACGGCAGCAGTGGAGAGAGTGATAGAGATCATGTGTGTATATGTTTGTGTGTAGGCCCACGTGTTTGCTTGTGTGTGTGCGTGTATGTGAGCGCGTGCGTGTGATTAGTATATAGTAGTGATTAGGATGATATACGATGATATATGCATAGTTGTGAATGTAAAGGTTAAGCCGGGCTTTTGTCGCATTTTCAATTGTACTCTCTGTACTCCGCTCTCTCTATATATATTATAATTATATGTATGTGTGTGTGCGTGTGTGTGTTCGTGTGTGTGTTCGTGTGTATGCGTGTGCGTGTGCGTGCGCGCGCGCGCGCGCGTGTGTGTGTGTGTGTGTGTGTGTGTGTGTGTGTGTGTGTGTGTGTGTGTGTGTGTGTGCGTGTGTGTGTGAGAGAGAGAGAGAGTACGTTGTACCTCGATCGACGAGTCGTTATGCAGCTGACTTCGATCGACTCTCGCGATAACGCCATAGTCGTCGTTCGGTAAAATCGCGGTGAGGAAAAACGACGGATCCCGGTCGCCGCGCTCGTCAATGTAGGCCTGGCCCGACGCACCTGTAAATGCGGCACACACACACACTCTAGTCACGGCCTGCTCTGTGTCGACGACGCGTTACCTTGTTGGTGGCGGCGCCGCCAGGCGTCGTTGCGTTATCCGGCGCGGAATCCACTGACGTAATGACGGCCAGGTTGCCCCACTTCTCGTTTGGCAGTATCGCGTGCAGAAACATGTGCGGCTCTCGGTCGCCGCCGGCGTCCATGATCACGTGACCGCTGGCACCTGTACGGAAGATCGCGCGACTAGAAGGCATTCACGTGCGATCGCGGCGATGTCTCCGCAAGCTCCCGCGGATGCGACGTCCCGAGAATTACGAGGAGCCGGTACGTGCCTAAAGAGCTTCATCATCGACGAAACAGGAGGCGGAAGAAGATGAAAGAGGAAGGTGATGATGTTGTTGTTGTTGTTGTTGTTGTTGATGATGATGATGATGGTGGTGGTGGTAGTGGTGGTGATGGTGATGGTTGTAATGATGATGATCGTGATGATGATGATACCACGACGCTGACGCCAACAGCCACGACGCTGACGCTGACGCCAACAGCCACGACGCGGACGCCAACAGCCACGACGCTGACGCTGACGCTAACAGCCACGACGCTG